ATATGGAAGCATCAGATGGAGAAGATCCAGCCCCTGAACTCTGGAGGTACCTCCTCTACAGCTTCTACCTAAACAAAGCAACAAGGCCATTTCTTTCTATAACAGGCTCTCCTAAAAAAGATCCAGAAAGAAAAATGGAAATGGATGGGGGTAGCAGTAACGTCTAACACTATTCGTCAGCTTCTGACCAAGACTGGTGAAGAGGGGCAAGATAGCTTCTAAATATGACAGGCTTTGGATTGGCTCTGATGGGACACCTAACACTCCCATCAAACATGCTGCTTCCAGCAAATGTGACAGAAGATGGGTATCATCTGGAGTAGTGGTGTCTTTCTTGGAAAGTCGTATTTACAGGGTGACAACCCAATAAATGTCCTCTGTTAGGACTGGTATTTATACGTTTCAACAGGGAACTGGCACAGTATGTAGCTTCCCTAAGTATTGCAGCATAGCCTTGGAGTCTTCAATTGAATGGAGTGCTTTATCCTTTCTGTTGCTAATAACTTCCGTCCCTTCAAAGGTTAAGTCCTTTAGTACGCTATTCCTTTTTTGGTATGCCAGATACTGGCAGCTGTGTGGCCAGTCTTGTCTTGACAGCCCTGAATATGAATGGTATGGCAGTGCTGGATGCAGCCATGACTCCCATAACACTGTTCTTGCTTACCTCTGGCTCTTATGATGTCCCGTAGTTTGCATCTTGAATAGGAAGGTAGTGCCTTTGGCAGCATTCTAACTCTTCCTCCCTCATCCGACCAAGTCGGGGGGGGGAGGGGGGAAACAAGTGGTCAGTGTCTTCCAGATGCCATTGTTGATAGGGAGGGTGATCCGGTCAGGGTCTGTGAAGTTCAGTATGTCAAAGAGCTTATGGACTTTTCCAGGATCACTGTGGTTTCAATATCCAGTGTCTTTGATCTGCAATGGGAACTCCTAGAATGCCCTGAACATATCTGCCTTATCAAGACTACTAGCCTCTGATGGTAGAAAATTTGTATGAGGAAGGAAAAGATGCAGGCAGGATGTAAATCATGCTCTGACCAAATGGCCTAAAGTTACTGCTCACAAGTCCAGTTAGTAGATTGGGGTGGCTTGGTCACAGCGCACAAAATACTGAATTATCCTCTTTCATGCAGCCTCTACCAGCAGCAATCCTATGGAGCCTCAAATGTAAATTAACACTACCCTTGCCAAGTAGAATTCCTAGAAGTCTCCAGTGTTGTGTGGTCCTTTAGGGTTTTCCACACAGCAGGGCTAAACTCGAAATAAGCTACACAATTTGAGCTATGCTAATTGTGTAACATAAGTCAAAATAGCTTACAGCCTGTCTTCAACTTCCGAACCGCTTACTGACCAAGCAATTAGTCGTAACTCGGTTTGTTCGTAAGTCGGACCCCATTGAGTTACATGTGACTGCGTTGTTCGTAAGCATGGATCGCGTTCGTAACTTGGGGTCCGCCATTTATGACATTTTTGGTCGTAACTCGGGGACCGGCTGTATTTCAAAATTGGGCACTCTTTCTCAGACTTCGCTTACTCCTCATACAATGAAGTTTACAGAAGTCAGAGTAAGAAGCCAGTTATTTTGAATTTATTTTTTAAAAAAGGGCTTGCTGTGTACGTGCACAATGTTATTTTTGTTATAACCTCTTTTGTTCTGAAATAACACTGCTGTGTAGACATACTGGGTGTCTCTAAACTACACCCCTGTTTTGGCAGGGGGATGTAAATTAGACTCATCAAAAGTGCAAACGAAGTGGGGATTTAAATACCCAGCACTTCATTTGCATAATCACGTCCTGATGCTGTTTCGAACAAGCGCCATTTTGAAACTGAAACTGCGGTTTAGACACAGTTTTTCCAACAGGGGGACTTTTTTTTTTTTTCTTTTTTGAGGCTGTGCTGCTGGCCAGCAGCTGCTCTCCAGGTCTCGGGCGCTTGCTGCTGTGGTCTAGGGATGTAAAACATTAACCGGTTACCCAATAAGTCTCACTTTTAATGGGTGGTGAGTTCCAGCTGCTACTAGTTAGGCAGAGTAGCTCCCTCCATTCATCTGAAGAAATGGGATTTGAATTTCCTGAGCTTCATTTGCATAATCACGTTATGGCGCGCTTTTGGAAAAGTGCTATTTTGAAAGTAACATCGTGGTCTAGACGCAGTTCTTTCGAAAAAGGAAGGCTTTTTTGAAAGATCCTGTAAACTTCAACAAATAAGGTTTACGGGATCTTTCGAAAAAGCCTTCCCTTTTCGAAAGCACTGCATCTAGACTGCAGTGTTACTCTCGAAATAGCGCTTTTCCAAAAGAGCGCCATAACATGATTATGCAAATGAAGCGTGGGAAATTCAAATCCCAACTTCATTTGCAATTTCGAAGTGCCTAATTTACATCCCTCTGTTGAAAGAGGGATGTAATCTAGACACAGCCTCAAAGGTGCTATAGGACCACTCGTTTAAGATTTTTTTTTTTTTTTTTTTTTTTTTTTTTTTTTAAAGGTTACAACCTAACATGGCAACCCTTCTGAGACTTCTGGTTCCTTCCGAAAGCAGTTCTGCAAATCTCCTCTTTGTCCCAAAGCTCTGAAAACTTGTTCTTTTCTATCAGTTATTGCTGGGTGGGGAGTGACTACTAACTTGTTTAGCAGTGGAGAAGGACTTGAAGTTTCTTCTGTGAGCAACAGAAGGGTAATAGTTTGCATCTGCCAAAAAGTCAAGAAAATAGATGTGAAGATGTTTCTTTTGACATGTGGCAATTGAAGTCAGGAAGTTGAGATTTATTGATCGTTAAGAGGACCCATACATGCATATTTATGACACTTATTTTTAACGTAAGGCTTATAATTTTCCTGAAAGTTTTTAAATATTTTCTGGGTAACAAAGTAGAAATCTGCTGTTTCTCCATTTCCTTCCTTTGTTTTCACTGGGGTTGGCTTTAACATATTCCACAGAAAAGATTATTACTAGTATAGTTGTTAGTGTATTTGTTTTAAGAAGGGCTGTCAAATGATTTTAAAAACCCTACTGAATACCATTCATTTAGATATTTTTGATGTTTTCTATGTTTTCAGATCTATTTCAATTACAATACAGAATACAAAGTGTACGCTTTCATATTTTTCATTCCCAGTATTTGCTCTGTAAAAAGTGCAGAAAATTGTATTTTTCAATTCACCCTAATACAAGAATTGTAGTGTATTCTCTATCATGAAAGCTGAACTTTAAAATGGAGAATTATGTACATAAAGTAAATGCATTAAAAATAAAATGTATAAAAGACTTTAGAGCCTACAAGTCCAGTAAGTCCAACTTCTTTGTCCATTTATGCAGACAAATTGGTTTATATTTGTAGGAAATAACGCTGCCCACTTCTTGTTTTTACTTTCAGAATATTGTAAACAGGCATTTTCATGGTGGTATTGTAGCCAGCATTGCAAAATATTTAGGTGCCAGATGTGATAAAGATTTTGTATTCCCCTTCATGATTCAGCCACCTTTCCAGAGAGCATATATCCATGTTGCCAAGGGGCTATGCTTGATAACCATCCAAAACAGAGCAGATCAGTGCATGTTCATGTTCATTTTCATCAAGTAAGTTGTATGGCCCCAGCAAATGATTTTGTTTTTGTTTTTGCATCAGTGTTGCTCTTTTAAGTCTTCTGAAAGCCTCCTCTGTATCTTGTCTCTTGGATTTTGGAAGGCATTTCGGATTGTTTAAAGCTTGGGTCAGGTGCTCTAGCTGTGTTCTTAGAAATCTGTCACTAGTACTTTCTTTGCATTTTGCCAGCTCTGTGAAAATGTTCTTAAAATGAATAACATCTGAGACGGCTATAATATGAAATATATAGCAGAATGTGGGTAAAACACACAACAGGAGACATACAATTCTCCACAAAGAGTTGTCACATTTAATTAAACTCTCCGCCCCCTTTTTTTATAACTACCATAATCATTATGAAAGCTTGTTCTCTGGAATGGTGGTTGAAGCACAAAGGGTCATATGAATATTTAGTATATCAGGCATGTAACTGCAAAGAGCTAAAAAGAGTCAGGTGGACCTCTTTTCTCATGTTCAGGTGACACTGTAAGTAAGAAACAGGCAGCATTTTCATCTAGCAAATATCAAGACCCTTGTCTGTCTTAAGAAGCAAGTCTGAGTGGACCTGAAGGTGCTGCAGTTTTACATTGTGTTTTTTTTTAAGTGCAGTTACGTAATCTGCATTTGTAAGTTACACTTTCATGATAAATCACAATGCAGTGCTTGTACTTGTTTACAACATACTACAGGCAGTCCCCGAGTTACGCGGATCCGACTTATGTCGGATCCGCAGTTACAAACGGGGCCCTTCCTCTCCCTGGTCTCCAGCAGACCAGGGAGAGGAAGCAAAGCGGCAGAACACGCGGGCAGCGGACAGCCCAGACGCGTTTGGGCTGTCAGCTGCCCGCGTGCTCCGCAGCTGTGCTCTGCTTTGGTCCCCGTCCCCCTGGTCTGCAGCAGCTGAATCTGGACGCCAGTTCCGACTTACATACAGATTCAACTTAAGAACAAACCTACAGTTCCTATCTTGTACGTAACCCGGGGACTACCTGTATTTATAATTTTTACAGTTCGGATATTTGTAATAAAATTATTATATATTGAGCGCTGTACACGACGTATTCTATGTTGTAATTTAAAATGTAGAAAAATATCCCAAAGTATTTAATAAATTGCATCTGGTATTCTGTTTCACAGTGCATTAAAACTGATTACATTCCAGTATTTTTAGTTAATTATTTGAGTTAAAACTAAAGCTGTTGATTAATCACTGTTAAGTAGTTTAATTAAAAAGGTATTTTCCACAAAGCTTTGTTTACTACAGTTCTTATACTTTAGTGAGTTGAAAGTTTAGTTTGGAAACCTGGATTGGGAATCTTAAAATAAATTGTATTACATCTTTTAAAATTAATAGTAAAGAACTTATAGCTGTCTTTAAGTATTTTAAGTGTAAATCTTTGCTTTCCTTTACTAGGCTGGACTAATTGAAGCCAACGGAGAGCTTAAGGTTTTTATAGACCAAAACCTTAGTCCTGGGAAAGGTAAGAAAATACTTTATCAAAAGGATACTTTTGCATTTTGTCTTGGAGATACTTGAGTGCATTATGAGCCATAGAAGACCTTTACAACTGCTTCCTTAGCACAGTTGTGGGGTGTTCTTGTTTTTGTTAAAGCTTTTCTTAAAGCTCATCTTGATACTCTAGCACAGTAGTTCCCAAACTTTTTGGACTGCTGCTCACCCCACTCAACGCAAACCTTTCTGTGGACCGCCAGCCAACCACCCATAATGAGAAAATGGGTGAAGGAGGGGGTGAAGGTGCAGGGTCTGTCTGGGAGGGAGGGTGCAGGAGTGGACTAAGGAGTGGGGGTAGTTCTCGGTGGGAGGAGGATGTGTGAGGAGGGGTGGGAGTTGGGAGTCTGGGCATGAAGGTTATGGGAGATACTTACCAGGCAACACTTCCTGCTTCCCCCGTTAGTTGTGATTCCAGCCAATCAGAGCAGTCGGGAAAGCCTCTAAGCAAGCAGTTTCCTGTGCTCCTGTTCCCCCAGCTAAGGGGAGTGGCAGCACATGGAGCCATTTCCTTCCATCACAAGCAGGATCTGGCTCGCAAGGCTCACCTTCCCCTCCTCTTCTGTACTCTTCTCCCCCTCCCCCTCCCCTTCCCCTGCCAAGGAAGCTGGTGCTGGCACTTCAACCTCATGGGGAGGGGGTGCATAGCTGCAGTGCCAATGCAGGCTCGCTGCTACAGGAGATGTGGGGAGGGAGCACTTAGCCTGTGGTCCACCTGCGAGACTGTCGCAGATGACACTTAGAGAACCACTGCTCTAGCAAACCAATACTGCAGATTTACTAGGACTACAGTTGTGTGAAATTCATTGGTGAATCATCTGGCATTCTGTAGGTGGCCAGTTATTTGCATAGTTACACTGGTGTAGACTAGAGATGTTAAATTGCGTTTAATTGACTAGTTGATGGCATTTCCATCAACTACTTGATAGGCACTTCCGCATTCCTCCTTTGAAATGTACAAGACCCCCAGTGGTGGCTCTTGTACATTGCAAAGGAGAAAGCTGGAACTCCGCATACAGCCTGGGGCCAGCGGAAAGTCCTGCTGACTCCAGGCTGCACATGGGTGCCTGCTTTGAAAGAGTCCCCATTGTGCATAGGATTCCATTGCATGATTTTTGCCATGCTTTCCTTGGCTGAAGAATAAGGGATACCTCAGGGTGGAAACTCACTTTGGTTTTTTGCAGGGGCGGCAAGCTTCCAATTGGACTATCCTGATAATCCAGTGGGAGGTTTGAGTTCTGTTTCTTTACCAAGATCTTCTGTAAAGACACTTGACACCCTCAAGTGCTCATAACTGTTGTGTTTCTTTTGTTGTTGAGCTTGCAATTCAGGTCACTGTCTGCCCAGGAAGCGGCCAGCTTCACCTAAGCAGTTACTAGCACCATGGCTTATCTTCATTGAAGACTTCTTTAGTGCCATTAGTCAGCTCCATTACCAAAAAGTAGTTTTCCAGATCTGTTATCCTGCTTTGAGGCAAATGAAGAGGAAGTATTCAAACTCTGTCTGAGGAGCCAGCAGCATTGATTTTTTTTTTTTTCCACAGGCAGAGGACACATGTTTTGGGAGAACTTGAAAGTGTTGTGGGCTTGCCCTGCAAGTAGTAACCAAAGCTAGTGGAAAACAAAGTTGGTTGGAATATTGCTGACAGGCTGCTGGAATCAAAGCTACTATGCTGTACACTGGCATGCTGATGGGCTGTTGATTGAGTAGGCCAGGTGGGGAGCTACAACAGCAAAGCATAATGAGGCACCCAAGATGGAAGGTCCAGGGATGACACAACCCCTCACTGGTCTAGATTACATTACACCTCATTCTCTCCTCTCCGTTTGAGGAATCCCCATCCAAACTGTTAGCTGTGTCTCAGCTGTTTCACTGTGTATGTATTTGCCACCAACTTTAGTCAAGAACATCCTGAAGGAACACTGAATCTCTAGAGTGCCACTTGTTGTTGTTTCTGTAGGTTTTCTAGGGGAAGGAGGAGAATTGTGGAGGTGCAGGGAAGCTGCCAGAGAGGCCTGCTGGGGAAGGGGCACTGGACTGGGGGATACTGTGCCCCTGAACCAGGCTGGGAGGCACCATGGCCCCTGAGGTGGGACTATGGCTAGAAGTGTTCCTGGCAGCCACCACGTGGCAGGCTGCCAGGAGTTTCAATTTGGCCTGTGGCGAGGCCCGATGGGGGGAGGAAGGGCTGGAGTGGGCATTCCTCCCTGCCCCTGAATTGGGCCAGGAGGTATCTTGGCCCCTGAGCTAGGGCTGGATGTCCCTTTGGCAGCCGCCCACCCACGTGGCAGCTGCCAGAGGGATATCTAGCCCTGCTTCAGGCTGGGGTGCCTCCTGTGGGATGACCCCACCCCCAAGCCAGATTGTCCCCCCCGGCAGCTGCTGGATTTTAAATTCAGCTGTGTAGTTCCTCTGCTGTCTGGGATGGAGGATGAGGGGTGTGCAGGAGCTGCGGAGGCTTGGGAGGGGGGAGGAGGACACTCGGTAGACACACGGAATTCCCGAGGGGGCAAGGGAGACACACAAGAGCCATACAGCCTTTCCCCTCACTGGTGGTGGTGGTTGTGCAGCCTCCCCCCCTTTGCAGCTGAAGGGAGAGGGCCTGGCCAGCCACAGCTCAGCCTCAGTCCGGCTGACCCCCTGGCAGCTGGACGGAGAGAGCATGCCACACTAGGTCTGTCCTCCCTGTTAGCTTGCTGAAGTGAAGAGAGCTGGGACAGGCCAGGGTTGCAGTGCCTCTGCCTGGCCCTCCGGCAGCCAGGAGGAAAGCTGGGGCTGCCTACTCCCGGAGAGGGGGGTTGGTGAGCCTTGGGAGCAGGGGGAATCACCCCCTAGTTTTTCGTAATCTCTTAACTTTATCTTCCTTGATATATATTAAGATCATTTATTTCTTGTTCTAGCTTCAGAGCAGGGGATCTCTGACCAAACCTGTCACACCCACACCCTGAACACTCTTGTGCTTTTCTCAGCTCAGAGCCCCCTCTTGTACCCCAATCTTCCTAGCCCTGGACCCGCACCTTTAGCTGGAGTCCTTAAGGCCCTGCCCCAGCCTGGAGCCCCTTCCTGTACCCCAAACTCCTCATCATTGGCCCCATCAGTCAGTCCTTACCCCCTCGCACATCAGCCTAGAATCCTCTTCTAAATTCCTCATCCCTAGCTCCACCAGCCTTATCCTATGCCCCCTGCAGGCTGTACCCCTCTTGTACCCTAAACCCCTTATCCATGGCCCTATCCCAGAACTCATAACTTTAACTGGAGCCCTTATCTTCCCTCTGCTCTCCCCTCCCCACCCTTCTCCCCTGCACTCCAACTGTGCTCTGGTCTGATGAAAATGAATGGGGGAGGGGAGAATGAGTGACAGAGGGGGAAGGGATGGAAGGAGTGGGGCTTAGAGGGGTGACACAGAGGGTGTCTGAAACCCTTTAAATCAAAATGGTAGTCCTTGGGCTGATAGAAAACTGCTGATCTATAGTATCTAGCGCCATGGTGTCCGTCCAGCCAGTATAGTGTCTACTGCTATAGCACACACTATACTGCGGTAGCCACACTCAACCTGCCAAATAGCCACATGTGGCTAACGTGTTGGACACTACATAGCTAGGGAATGTGGCTCTTAAATTTGACAAACACTTGCAGCTGTTGTACCATAGGTGGTAGTATCGGTACACAACTAGAAAATAATGTATAAACGAGGTTCTTGAAACATTTTAAATGGAACAAAAATTATATTTCTAGCTGGACTACAACCAGGGTCCTGTTTGTTTGAGAGCCACAAAATATTATTTTGCTTAATAGCTTTTTAGTCAGTGGACTTTGAATAAAAAAAGTCAGCTACTAAAGTAGCAATTTTTCACGTGTGGAATAAAGTGTAATCTCCCTAGATCTTTCACTACAGCGTAAGAAAAGAGAAGAAAGTATTTCAGTTTTTTCCTAAATATTCTTCCTTTTAATGCTGTTTCATGGAGAGGCAAAACATGATGCAGTAACAGAAGGTTGAAACCTGCTGATAGACCAAAAGAAATTCTGGATTTTATTTTTCATTAGCATTCATGAATGGTGTTTCTTACAGAGGGACTTTAGTCTGAATAACAGAGAAATGTAATTGATAAATCACATAGCAGAAGTTTGTTTCTTTGCATTGCCAAACAATGAACCTTAGCCCTTACTAGGATTTAATGTCTCTCAAGAGAGTATTTGTCATTATTAGCATTTGGAAGACCATTAGACTTGCAAGAGTGGATAAATCAGGCTTACAGGCCTGTCTGTGCCTTTTTCTGGAGTTAAGAGTTTCTTCCCCCATACTACAACAGATGAAAGATTCTTTGCTTTTGATTTATCCAAAAACATCCTGAGAGGGAATCCCATTTGCTCAAACGTTTCATTTGGTCATGTGGGAAAGGATGCTTCAAACGTAGGATGTGGAAGACTGTTCAGAGCACAGACTTTTTTTTTAGTATAAAAAGTAAACATGTTTTCTAAGAGAGAGTCTTCCCATATTTTTCAAATGGAGAAAAAATTCTCTCTTCTTCAGGAAGGCAAACCTCCATATTAATACCTTTAACTGAGAATTCTAAAACTGGTCCTCACCATGTTTTTCCCTCAGGTCAAATTTTTAAACAAAAAATACTAAGTGAACCATAGAAACAAAATAGATATGCAAAAAAAAATCCCCTGGTCCCAAAACTGCACTGTGGTTCACTGCATAAATTATATAGAAGTGTTTACAGTATAATATAATATAGTATTTTAACCTGACTGTGTGTGTCCCTCCCTTGATCTGCTACAAGAATTTTGGTAGAGATGGTATGTGGGTCCTACAGTGAATGTTGGTACATTAGTCCCTCAAATGAGTGCTATATAACTCAAGCGTTTTAGGAATGTTTGGTTCTTCTTACAGATGTTAAGAAGTGGGTAATCGAGTAAATGTGTACTTGGTACAATTTGAATTGAGTACGTAAGTCAATAAGGAGG